AACTGCTGCTAACTGAGCACTGGTTAGCACGCCGTTTCGGGCAGGCGGTGTGTGGTTTTCTGCCGGCCAGTCCTGCGGCCCGTCTGGGGCGGTGCCCCGCGGTAACTGCGGCTGGTTTCGTGACATATCTATAGTAAGTAGACCTTAAAGTAATTATATAGAAGGCTTAATAGAAGAGGCCCTATAAAGTTATTATTCTTATAAATAAGATGATTAATAGTCTTAAGCTTATATATCTTATTGTCTTTTTAATATAAAAGAGGTATTATAGGTAGTCTAATAGCCTTATTATTAAATTTATTTTTATTAGTCTTATTATTAATATTAATAATAGCCTTATAGCAGTCCTCTAGGTCTTTTTACTTCTTCTTAATATTAGTAATTATATTTTTATTAATATAAAAAGTATAGAGTTATAGTTAAATTAATAGATATTTTACCTTAAGAGCCTTTTAAAGTAATATCTTATAGTTAGTAATAATAATTATTAGAGCTAGGATATTATAAGAGGTCTAGAAGTAGACTAATTAGCTAGCTAGCTAGTTATAATCTTCTTCTTACTTATTATTAATAAAGATAAAGGTAGTAGTAAAATTAATGCCTATATTAATTATACTAATAATCTAAAAGAGAAGTATATTATAGTAGTTAGTTTTATAGGTATTATTATATTATAGGGTTATTAGAAACTAATATTATATCTATAGAGCCTAGAGATAGCTCTAGAAAAGTACTATAAGCTAATAAGGATTATTATCAGTATATTAAATAGTATATAGCAGGCCAGTCTTATTAAGATACTTAAGAAGATATTATATAGCTATATAGCCCTCTAGAGCCTTAAGTTAAAGGCATAATTAAAAATTAGTTATATTAAGAAGAAGAAAGATCTTATTAGAGAAGGCCTCTTATAGAGCTAGCTTAATATTATATAGTTAAATAGAAGTAATTTTAAATATTATAATAATTATTATTACTATCTTAAAAGTAATTCTTTAATAAACTTAATAGCTAGTAATTAGGCTAGATAGCTTATAGTTATAATAATTATAAATAGCCTTAAAAGTCTATTAATAATTATTCTTCTTTAATATCTTAGCTATAGCCTTCTATAGATAATTAAACTCTTTAAATATATATATCTTTTATATTATAACTCTAGATAGCCTAAAGTAGCCTTAATTATATCTAATATTAATTCTTATAGCTAGCCTATCTTATATATTTAAAGACCTTATCTTAATAAAGGCAACTCTATTCTTTTTAGTCTAATTATTTAATTTAATTATAAGATTATTACTAATATAATAGATAGTTATAAAAAGACTATAGTTTAATAGAATAGAGGTAGTAAGATTATTAAAGGGCTAGAAGGCTAAAGACAAGAGATTGATATCACTTAATAATTTAAAGAGGGACAGTAATTTAAAATCTATTTTAAATTAATAATTAGGCAGATATCATTAAGAAAGTTCAAGAGCTTCAATTTCTAATGATATATATTAATGTGGCGGCCGTCATAGTGGTTTGAAATTGATCATTTGTTATGTTTCGTGTTTGGTGGAGATTGGGCGTGTTGAAAAACCGGCAAAATAATGGCGGTGTGGAAATTGTGGAGAAAGCCGTCCCCCGATCGCTTTTTTACAGTCCCCCGATCGGGTCTCTCTTTTTTTGTCCTTTGATCTTCAAACCTAGACAGTCTTGGCAATATGCCAGAACAAGAAGGGGAAAACAATGACACATACAGTGGTTGGGACGATGTGAGACCGATCCTGATTCCACATCTCATCCGTCCAATCTTGGAGGATGCCTACACACAGAGTACATGTCCAACACTAGGCATCTGCGGGGATCATCCCCGGGGCCAAGACAAAATACACATCGGAGAGTTGGCCATAGATAGGTTCTATTGCTTCGAGAACAGCCAGCCAGCCGCAGCCTGTCAAGACGCATGCGACGGTAGCCCACCTGCGCCAACAGCATGGTTGCGTAAATTAGACACCCATGGTGGGAAGCGGGAAGCGTAATAATATCGAGGTAATATCGAACTAATCAATGCACGTAACCAAGGCAGGGGCTTGTGTAAGCTGCTGCTGTACAGACGGTCGAGTCGTGGGAAATGCCTCGAGCTGCACGCGTTTGTTGGTTTTGGGACCTTACATATGGATATAATGAAGAAATTCGCCTTGCCCACTCTATCGTCACCTCCCATGCCTCTCTTGGCTGCTACCCCAGAGATTGACTTAATACATCGTTCAGCCTTGCGCGCTGAGGTGGCATGCACCTAATACTACGCACAGGGTAAGGCACAGTTCCCTGGTCTCGCGGCAAGGACTTGCCGGGTGCGTGTGCGTGAAAGGATGATCTTGATCCTCTGGGTGTGCCCTTGATCGTCCCGGATACTACAGTATCCCGGGCCTGGAATGTTCTTGACCCTGTGGCACTCGCTCTCTCTCCGTCGGGAGCAGGCCGAGAATGAATGCTGATCGATTAAGGGTCCCCAATCCCTCGAGGCAGCAAGAGCTTTGGGGACAGTAAGCGACGATCCGCCGCGACCGACATGTACACGGCCCAGCTGGGCTGGCACACCCTTCACCCTTGCTCTCTTCCCGTAGCAGTAAACTCCTCCGGGGTCCTTCACCTTGGCAAACGTGAACCACGCCACGCAAGTGGTTATTCCTCCCGCGCTTGCAATGTGACATTCATCGGGTGCCGGCTCCTGATGTCGGATCGAGAAGACTTGGAAGCCGTCTTGGAAGGAATCCTTCGACTAGCGGCTCAAGGATTCTCATGCGTCGCAGCCCAGGACTGGCCCAATCCGCCTCGATCAGTCGCTTTCAACTACAGCAGGTTGCACCAGACCCCATCTCTCAAGGTTGGAGTACGGGTGCTCCTCCATCTGCTCCTCCCGATTCCTGGCGATCCAGTCGAACTCGGGGGGCCTCGCATCTCTGTTCTCGTCCTCATCCAGCTCCTCCATCACCACCTCCCCGCCTTCGTTGTAGTGTATCCTCCAGGCAGTCGCGCCCGCGGCAGTGTCGAGGCAGATATACCTCAGCCTGCCACGACTACAGCCACTATCTCCTACTCCCTCCGGGGCCGCGGCGACGAGGCGCCGCGCAAACGACACGGCCCTCTCGTCCTTGCCGCTGGGAATCCCCAGCAGGGCGATCCACACCGCCTCCAAGCCCTCCATCCCGCGGAGGCCGTCGGCGAACGGCTCGAGCCCGCTGAACAGGTCCTCCCGGTAGGCCAGCACGCGGAAGGCCAGCACGCGCACCGAGTCGAACAGGGGCAGGTAGCAGGCCTCCGGGGCGCCGAGCTCGGGCAGCAGCAGCCCGCGGGGCCGCAGGCGCCACTCCGCCGCGTCCGGGGCCAGCGGGTACCACTCGCGGTGGTTGGCGGCGATGTAGCCGTCCGGCCGCCGCCCCACGAACTGGTCGAGCAGCACGGAGGACCGGTTGAACCGCACGCCGACGAGCTCCTGGCCGTGCGTGTCGACGGCGAGCGCCAGGCCCGACAGCCAGGCCCTGTCGACCTCGCGGCTCAGGAAGGCGAGTGTGGCGAAGTCGGACTCGCTGAAGCCCAGCAGGCGGAGCCTGGGGAGCACCTCGGGCCCGACGACGTCCCTTGTCGCAATGACGCCGCGCTTGAGGTGGAGGAAGGGCCCCGCGGTGCAGATCCGCAGGGCCTCTAGGTAGGATGGGTCCGTCAGCATGGAGAGGTACTGCCTTGCAGAGGTGAGCTGCGGGAACGCGGGCGAGGGCTTGCTGAGGTACATGGACTCGCCGAGGACGAGCGACTTGAGCTTTAGCGGTGTGCCTCCTGCCTGCTGGTACTGGACGCAGAGGTGCTGCAGACGGTCGTGGGCGCCCTGGTCCATGACGATCTCGTTGGCGGAGAGCGAGAGGTGAGTAAGCAGGGGAGAGGTCTTGCAGATGTGAATTACGATCTGCGGCGGTCGCTCGGCTGGCCCCTGTGCGTGGTGGTAGGAGAAGGAGGTGAGGTTGGAGAAGCTCCAGGCCAGACTGGTTCTTCCTATTGATCTGCTCGTAGTTTGAGGCGCGTCGTTTTCGACATCGCCATGGTGCGCGCTTATCAGTAGTGATTGGAGGCGCGGGCAAGCCTCGTAAAGTGACCGTATGAAGGGAGTCGGCATCAGTGAGCCCTTCCACCTGGACGTTTCGGTCAGCTTTCGGAGACACGTCTTTAGACTCCCTAGAAACAGCCATCGCTCACCTGAAGGTGTGCAGACCTGCTGCCTGCCTGAGCAGAGACTCCAGGGCCCTGCTCTGGACCTCTTTGCTCTCGTCGCCATAAAGGTCCTTCCGCGCGGCGTCGGCGGCAGCGACGTTGAGAATCCTGAGATTCGCCAGGCGGGATGGGCGCGCTACATCCTCAGGCATCTCTGCCAGCGCTGTTAAGTCCCCGTAGCCAATCCATAGCTCTTCGTAAAGCTTGAGAGAAAAGATCTTGTAGGAGGACCTGTTGACTAAACAGAGCTGGCGGATGGATTTACGCGTGGCAACCTGTGGTGGTGAAGAGCATTTTGGGCATTTCGGTCAACAATCAGATCACCTCTTTTCTCGGGGCCACGGCCGCATACCTGATCACGCAGAGAATGTAAGAGATCCGGCGTTGAGAAAAAGGTCTGCGATGCAGACATGGTCTTGGCCCCAGACTGTGCCGATCGACGTGTGTGTGTTGTATGCTTCAATGAAGGGTGTGCTTGTGCAGTGCTGAGGCGGTGCACGCGTTATCAGATCCAGGCACAGGCGGTGGGGAGGGAGGTGGGGCGGCTGGCGGATGCGGGATTAGCATCATACACACCTGCATAATGTGTGCACTAGGTAGTTTCGTCCAGTTTCCCAAGTTTGACTGCAAAGTACACCTCCAGCTCTGCCGGAGTCAACTTTGGTGCTTACACCATGCGTCGATGGAACATCGTGTCATGGTGAGAAACCAACGGAGGCTTGTCCTTGCAGTGAGAGAAAGCTCCCACATTGACAAAGCTTGATAGGGCTTGCTAACTCTGCCCGTGCCAAACGGCCAAACCCTAACAGAAGAAGCAATCTCAGAATACACGGATCAAGACGAGATACATCATTCGGTACTTCATTCATCACGACAAAGTTATGAAAAGACTATCGGTAATATAAGGCACGAATCTAACCAAAGGCAGGCTCCTGCTTGGCGCCGTCAATACCACCCAAATAACTGACCCTGTCCTTGCAGTAAAACTCGACGTCGATCTTCTTGTCGAGACTGGCTTTCCCGTTGTCCAGCCCGCCGGCCTTGATGACAACCACTCCGGGCATGATGTCGAGCTTGGTGAAGAGGCTGGAGCCGCAGTTGGCACAGAAGAAGTGGCGATTGTTCTTACCCGAGGCACCGGTAATGTCGTAGTGCTTTGGGGTTCCTAGTTCATCATTTTTCAGCTCATGTACCTCTATCTCTTGCAGCTCCTGCATCCACGTCCGCCAGCCTTACCCTTGGTAACCTTGAACGCTTCCTCGGGGACCACGGCGTTGGAAGTGTACGGCCCACCAGTCCACTGGAACGAAGTTTCAGCAAAAGTTGCCTACTGTGATAATGACTGCGGAGCTGAGCTTTACCTTCTGGCAGTCGAGGCAGTGGCAGAGAGCAGTCACCTTGGGCTCGCCTAGGCTGTATTAGTAGCGACAAGGTCAACACACCTCTCTCACACCAGTTGACCTACTTGAGCTCTCGTAGGCGATCTCGCCACACATGCAGCTACCTTGAAGAGCGGCCATGGTTTCAATTGTGGAACGTGTGATTCGAAAGTGAATGAGAATGATACTGCAACTGGAGTTGATGAGATGACTTGGTCTTCGAAGGATGCCATTTATGCCGCGGGGTAACAGCACTATTTGTATCTGGTGAAAATGCTCCGCGTAATAGATCTAGATAGCGCAACAACTTAGTCTCGGGGACACGGATGGTAGCGTACATGGGGCGTTGACTTGGCCCCAGTTCTGCGTGCATTTTGGTGTTGAATAATCAACTAATTACGCATCACGTCGTGAGCCCCGCCTCCGTTGCTTTTTTGAACCACATGAATGGCTGGTTGAGCAGCTCCCGCACGACCGGCCAAGTGGGCACTGCCGGATCTAGCAAGTTTGATCGAGTCTAGCAATGAACTAGGGAGACGTCATGTTTTTGTTGACAACCCAGAAGTTCTAGATACTCGCCGTGATCGTGATCGGTGGATATCGGCGGTCCATGTTCAGTGCCGGGACTGGAGCCTGGTGAGCTTGGCAGATAGACATGTAACCATCGATTGGTATATATCTAAGTTCCTCGACATGTGTGTTGTAATCAACCCTGCTGTGCCTCTTTTCACTGGTCTACGACGACAATTTGTCAAGAGCATCCCGGGTATGATCGAATATGCGAGGTAATCAGGAATCATATATCGCGTCACGCTCGGGAATAATCCCGTTCAGAAGCAACGTGTTGGTCGCCTCTAAGGTGACGCCCGTCTGACCAGATGCTTTAGAAAGAGGAGTGTACTTTCACCATGATGATCCCCGTGACCCATGCGCCCATGCGGGCATCAGCTGAGCAGGACACATCAGGGAGATTGGCTCTGCCGAGACACATTATGTCTAGCATATCTCAGGCATCTCCGGGACGGAACGGTGCCCGACGACCGAGATCGACGCTAGGATCTTGTCTAGCTCGGCCTTCTCCTCCGCCGAGAGCGGCACGGGCCTGCAGTTCTCCTCCACCTTGGCTGGCGACGTGGTGCCGGGGATGGGGATGATGGTGCCGCAGTTGCCGACCTCGGAATGCGCGCGCACCCAAGCCAGAGCCAGCTGAGCAGGCTTGACGCCCTTGCGAGCCGCAAACTCCTCGACCTTGTCCACGAGATCCAGGTTTTTGTTAAAGTTCTAACCACATCAGTGAAACTTCCATGAGTGAATGAACGTGGGACAGCAATGCTTACCTCCCCGCGAAACCTCCCCAGCATCCTCCGCAGGTCCCCCTCGGGAATGTCCTCAAACCTCCGGATCTGGCCCGTAAGGAAGCCGTACCCCAGCGGCGCATAGGCCCAGATCTCGACGCCGTTCTCCCTGCACACCTCCGCCACGCCGTTGGTCAGGATCTCGGTGCTCCACAGCGACAACTCCTCCTCCACGGCGGCGATCGGCACCACGGCGCACGCCCGCCGGATCGTCTCGGCGCTGACCTCGGACAGGCCCGCCGCGCCGACCTCGCCCCTGCCGACGAGCTCCCTCAGCGCCGCCGCCGTCTCCTCGACGGGGACATTCCCGTCGTCCATGCGCGCGGGCCCAAAGATGTCCATCCGCTTGTTCGGCCCCAGCAGGGCGGCGCACTCGGCCGCGCTGGCGAGCACCTCCGCGCGGCTGGTCGCCGGCCGCAGCAGCGGCGGCGCGCCGGCGATGCACCCGCGCACGAAGAGCGTTACCTTGGCGGCGTCCTCGGGGTGCTGCGCGAAGTAGCGCCCCAGGAGCTGCAGGCCGGCGCCCGGGTTGTCGGGCGGGCCGTAGGCGTAGGCCGTGGACCAGCGGGTGGCGCCGCCGGCGATGGCGGCCTTCATGCAGGCGAAGGCCTGCTCGTCTGGGGTGATTTCGGGGCGCCATGTGAAGTTGAGGAAGCCCATGCCCCGGATTTGGAGTTAAGCACTCACTTGCCATGGCTCCACTTCTACCAGCATGCACATTTGTGCCCTGAGAAGGGTGGACATAAGTGACTGAAGACTGTCTACAAGCCTGAGTATATCCGCGCCGACGAGGTTCACCTACACTGCAAGTAGCATCGGTGGCCCGCAGCATGACGCGCCGGCCGGTGACAGCATGCTACTGATAGACTGGATCGTAATCATGTAATATTCTCCCACAGTATTTGTCAGCGATCTGTCTCTCTCTCTACTTCGGCATCATCCGATCAACCCATTTGAGCAGAGGTCGATCACTGAAGCCTGTTGTAGGACCATACTCAGGGCCTCGCGCCTTGCAATGGTCGTGCCCCAGCGATTTCCTTCTATCTGGGCAAGATATCAATGGAGTCATAGCCCGGCGTTGTAGTCGTGCCCTCATCAGTTGCAGTCCTTGACGTTTCACCATTTTAGCTTGCCGAGTCACTCCTTTGTGGTGATGTTGGGGTGCTCGAGTCCACCTGACAAGTGACAAAGACTCATCAGTCAACACGTCGCAGTATCTGCGGAGTCACTTGCCATTTCGTGATGAGTGCTTTGTTCAAATAGAATGACATCTCACATCAAGAAATGTACTTATAGGTCCCCAGACCGACGGCACCCACGAACCAACGGTGGAAACGATTGCCCTAAACAACTCATCAGTCACGGACCATTCTCTTTCCCCTGTCAAGAAAAAAAAAGGCTTGTAAGTTCATTGCCGATCGCAGGTTCATCCCCAACATCATCAGTGATAATTACTCATCAGATCCGACAGGGTATCAAATAAAAACAATGCAACTTCCTCTCCTCACCGCAACCCTGCTCCTCTCCTCCGCCCTCGGCGTGGCGGCCACACCGGTGCCGGAGGAGAACGTCTCGGGCGACGTGCCGGAGTGCAACGAGAGCCGGTATGAGTGGTTTCACGGCGTCGAGGACCACAGGACCCTCGTCAGCGCGTGCTACTGGTTCGTATGCACGCCGATGAACAGGTGGCGGCTGGTCCGGAACTGCGGCGACACGTCGCGGTGCAACAGGGACGTGCCGACTGGGTGCATCGACGCCGGGGGTCTTCCATATTGAACGGTGGAAGTTGTGGATCTGTCTTTGTATCTGTGCATATTTTGCTAGGGGTGTTTTCTTCGATTTTTGCGACTCTCTGAGTTGGTGGGAGGAGGATGGGTAGCAGGGACAGGCACAGGTGGCCGTGCTGGAGACCCAGGAAACAAACAACATACCCTTCCTTAGTCAAGATGATGTCAACCCAGTGACGCGCATTGAGTGCCTATGTTCAGCAGCAAAACTTGTGACCGGGATGTCTCGAGAAGAAATCGGGATCTCAAGGCGAGAAGCTCCCGTGTCTTTGTATCATGCTTGAGCGGGTGCTAGCCTGTATTGGGAAATAAATACGGACGGGGCACACACTGGGCAACGCTTTGCCGGATTGGGCCTTTTACGAGTTCGCGAACAGTCCGGGAGTCATCCCTCAGCTTCAATGCCCCAACATTGTATAAAAAGAGTCGTGTTTCTTTCTGATTTTCTTCGCCATATATGTCTTCTACTTTTTTGATCGTTCTTCGAATCACATTACTTGCCTTTGCTTAGTCGGTGTTATCATCCAACTCTGTCGCACTAGACCACGGAGACCAACACGACTTACATCAACCTCAAAATGGCCCTGCCGACAGCCCTCACTAGAGGCATCGCGGCTTCACGCACGACGTCCCATATCATGAAGCCAATAAACCCCAAAACATTCCCTCGTCACTTGGCTGCGCCTTCCGCGACGAGATCATCTCAGATCCACCGCTCCTTCAGTACCCGACCTGCCCTCCACTCCCAACAACAACAACCCAACGCACCAGACAAATCGACCAACACCAGTGCCAACCAGATCACCAACCAGGGCCAACAACAGAAGCAGGCACCAAAGGCCAACTATGTGACCCTCCTCGACCAGCTCGGCGCGACCCGCCGCACCAAGATCGTCGTGATCGTAGCGCTAGGCATTTTCGGCACCATGGAGACCATCTTCTACGTTAAGGGGTTCTTGCGCTGGCTGTACCCGCCTCCCGAGGACGAGAGCGAGCCCAAAGTGTACAACTGAGTCTGCTATAGAGGTATCATGGACTGTGTAGATGATACGATCAGCGTGTAAGATCAAGTGTATTCTGCAGGCGTTGTTTGTTCTGCTCTCTGGCTAGCGGTGTCATTCCCCTTTCATTCTCATAGGAAAGCGAAAAGGGCGTATCAAAGCAATGGTTGTCTATCTCCCAGTAGAATGGGATCCCAGGTGCTCAGTACCTTATGTATATCTCATAGAGCGAAGCATACAGTCTCCCCTATATATCTCACCAGCCCACCTGAACTGACCTTGGCTGCCTATATACGAACCCCCAGTACATCCTTGATCCACCTGACAACCCCCTCCGCCGCCCCAGAGACTCCAGCCGCGACCCAATCCCACCCGGCCTTGACCAGCTGGCAGCCCTTGACCACGCACCACCCCGTCCCGAAGAACACGAGCATCAGCGCCGCCCACGCGAGGATGTACTCCTTCCTCCACCAGAACCACATCGCCGTGCCCTCCACCGCCCGCAGCAGACAGTGCCCGAGCCGGGCCCACACAGAAGGCCCCCTCGGAGGAGCTGGCGACGGCGGCCAGACGGGGCGTGACATGGCGCCGTAGTTTAGCCGCGCAGCGTTGTTGCTGCTGCCGCGCAGGCTGGTCCGCTCGTTGCTCCTGGCGTTGCGGCTGTCGCTCGGGTACGCGTCGGGCAGGCTGGAAGGGCAGTACCGCTGGTCGTGGTGGTGGTGGCTGCTGGCGCTGGCGCTGGGCCTCGGCGTGCGCTGCGGCTGGCGCTGCCCGGAGATTCGGCTCAGGTAGCTGTACGCCGGGGGTTCCGTCATCGCCGCTACTGCCGGGGGTCGCGTCCGGGGTAGCGACGACGACGACGGCTCGGATGTCCGGCGGGGTGTCGGCGGCGGGAAGCCGCTCGCGCGGTAGATCACCGCCAGCATGTCCTCCTCTGTCGGACTCAGGGGCGGTGACAGCGGCGGCGCTGGGACGCCGACCGCGCCAGTGGTAATCGGATATCCGCACCGCTGCGCTAGTATCTTGAACGAAGCCGGCGACAGCGCCGTGCTGTCGTGCCCCCGGGTGTACCGCCTCGTGGCGTCGAGGGGGATGGTCAAGCGACGGCTGATGTTGACGTACGAGTTCTTCCTCAGGGGCTCGCAGCCCGGCGCAAGCTCCAGGATCAGTCCATCCGTCGGGTGCGGCTTGCTCGGGTGGATGGGCAGGTAGTCTGCCCAGAGGTGGCGCTTGTGGGGCTCGCGGAAGTGGTCCTGGAGGTCCTGCTTCTGGAAGGATGTCACCTTGGGTTGGGAAGTGTTAGAGAGAGGATTTCAGTAGAAGCTGAGGCAAGGTAGCCTGAACATACCGTCAGCACTTCGACTTTCCCATCAGGCGAGATGGAGGACGACAGTATCACAACAGGATGGTCGTAGCCTTCTTCGTCGAGGGCAATGGACGAGCAGTCGACGGTGATTTCGCGCTTCGGTGGCAAGAACCGAATCCTCCCGGCCCAAGACACCGCCGCCGCCGCCGCTCCCGGTGGTGGCGGAGGCGGCGGGTGCGGGTAGCGCGGGCGGGTATGTCTCCTCGGCATACGGTCACTGTCGGCGCGGAGGTGTGCGACTGTGAAGCCAGGCATTTCGACTCGCCTCGAGCAATCTGTAAGCGCTGTCTAACTCTCCCCAAGGTGTTTGCAAGACATCTTGAATTGGAAAAGAATCAGATCAGGCGAACATGGCCAGGTCAGAGCTGACAGTTGCTGAGGAGGGAGGGAAAATCAGCACATTCTTATTTCAAACAAGTGAGGCGAGCATGTTTGGGGGAAGCTCCTGGTAGGCAGATAGGCAACGCTGGGGGTGCTGTTCCTCTGCTGATGTGGACGACCTCCCGCAGCATTGGAGGTGTCTCTGCATGAAACTGCACAGCTCTGTTGGCGGCCCGGGGCGCTCGGCCAATGGATGCTGGGCGAGCCGCAGTTCATCATGCACGGGGGCTGAGCCGGCCAATTGCAGAGGCCGGCACAAGGCAGATGGGGTAAGCAAGGCATCACCCGAATGGGCAGAGGCAGCCTGACTGCATTTCCGGCTGGCTATGGAATATCGGAGACGCAAAAGATGCGATTCGCAACAGGAGGCCGCCGTTGGTGGTGCGTTGTATTGTTGGTCGAGAAGGCTGAAGATCAACTATGGTGATGTATTGAGGGCGGCAGAAATGATAGGCAAATGAACCCGGCACAGGAAGGGGTGCCATTTCTCCAAGATCTAACGCTTCTATTGTAATCATAATCATTACTCTTGTACTTAATCAATCTCAGCCGTCAGTCTACTGAGGCGGCACCTCATCCGGGACAGGCAGTCCGTCGCCAATTTCCACCATGTCGGGCCAGCTCCAGCCCATGCCGCCGCCGCTCTTGGCCGTCTGCTCCCACTGCTCCAGGACAAAGTTGTCTTTCGTATCGCCGTCCTCCTTGATGTCAAAGATGCGGTAGTCGGCGTTGAACCAGAAGCAGCCCGTCATGGCCTGGCGCAGGAAGCCCGAGTGCGAGACGACGACGACGGCCTTCTCGGGCCGGCCGTCGAGCTCGCGGACGCAGGTCTGGGCGCGGTTGAGCAGGGCCTTGCGGGTGAAGGCGTAGTGGGCGCCCGCGGAGGAGGTCTTGTCCGGGTAGACCGGGTCGACGTGGGAGAAGTCGATGGCGGGGAATTCCTTCTTGAGTGACTCGAGGTCGGAGCCCGTGTCGCAGGGTTTTGATGAGTTTTCTAAGAGGGTATGCATGTCAGCTGCAGCTCTTTGTCTGTGAAGGGTGGGGTTAAGGGAGCATATGTTCACGTCTGCTCGAACTAGCAAGCCGAACCGGGTATGATGTATAGAGTATAGCAACAGGAAGTGGATAGGGCGGTAGGATCTCACCTTGCCAGCCGGCATGGGCCTGTATCGGCACACCCTGCTCGATCAACCAGTCTAGAGCAATGAGGGCGGTCTGGCATGTCCTCCTCATCGGGCTGACGAGAATGAGGCCGACATCCAGTTGGCCGGGCAGGGTCTGGATGAGCTTCTCCCGGAGCTCCTTGCTCTGATTTCGGCCGAGTTCGGTCAGATCCGGGTCGTGTATCTCATAGTCCTGTATCGAGATGTCAGTCCATTTGCATATCCTGAGACACTCGTGAGAGTCGGGTAGACTTATTCGTTTCATTGTGCAGCGCTTGCGCGTGGCGTATCAGGACCAACGTGGGAGCCATCTTGCGGCGGTGAAGTCGTTTTTTGTTGAATTGCACAGATTTATGGCGGATGCCAGTCTTGATGACTCGGAAATAGTCTGCTCGTGAGAGCTTTTATAAGATATAAATTCGTATGCTGGTTGATTTAAATGATTGAGTCACAGTAAGCTATGTTAGTGAATGGTTTGCGTTACTCAGAACACGTTGGCTTTGTCAAACATTCGAAAAGCAGCTTGAGGCAGGACAAGAGGCCGCTTTGAATCTACACATATGGATGGGACTTGTGCACAGCCCAGACAGGCAGCGTGGTACTGTGCGACCCCACTCTGACTCAGTCAGCCGGACAGTGCGCATCCAAGAATGCCTTACGGTCAGGCAGCACTAAGATACGTGCTTGAGGTAGGTAGCCTAGTAGGTAACTAATTAATCCCCTGCCTACAGGCTCACTACCTACTGCGTATACTACAACAAATTCCACAATTCATGCATCTCCAGTCGGGTCTAGATCGCTGAGCTGCTGCCATAGCTGTGCGAACCTCTGCACCACCTCAGTCTGCCTCAGTCTGCCTCAGCCTCCCTCCCACTCCCGCGCTCTTCGCTGTCCGGACGCACAAGCACCACGGAAGAGCGACAATGACGAGCGTAGACGAGCTATTCAAGGTCAGGATCCCACCCAATTGCTTGCACCGTCGCATGCCACAACAGCCTCCAAAAAAGCAACCTCACTGACTGCCTCGCAGAAGTCCGGCCTGCCCAGCAAGCGCAAGCTCGAACCAGTCCGAGACCCGAGTAAGCAGGAGCATTCCTTTTTCCCTCCCTCCCTATCTCTAGCTAACGTTGCGTTCCCTCTCTCTCTACTCCAGCCGAGATCTACAAATCTGCCAAGCTCTCCCCGAACGGTCACTCGAGCCGCCACGCTCGCGTCGACGAGGACGAGAACGACGAAGACGACACCGAGGCCGGCCCCGCGCGCCCGCCACCCGAGGACGACGAAGACGGCGACTACGGGCCCGCCCGACCCGATGAAGACGACGGCGTCGACGACGAGGAGGGCGGCCGCTTCTTCGGCGGCGGCATCACCCGGCAGGAGGCAGAGGTGCTAGACTACCTGGACGACGGCGGCGACGGCGACGACACGGCGGCGCCCGAGAAGATCGACTCGGCCTGGCTGCGCCGCACCGCCCTGTCCCTCGAGAAGCGCATCAACAAGAACGCCGAGCTTCGCGCCCGCTTCGAGGCCCAGCCCGCCAAGTTCATCGACTCCGAGGCCGAGCTCGACGCCGAGGTGCGCGCCCTGTCCATCCTCGCCGACCACCCGGCCCTGTACCCGGAATTCGCGGCCCTCGGCACCGCCGCCTCGCTGGCCTCGCTGCTGGCGCACGACAACACCGACGTCGCCATCTCGGCGGCCCAGATCGTCGGCGAGCTGACGGCCGAGGACAACGACGCCCAGGCGACCGAGGAGCAGTGGGGCGCGCTGGCCGACGCGCTGCTCGAGGCCGACGTCGTGGGCCTGCTGGTCGGCAACCTCGGCCGGCTCGACGAGGACGGCGACGAGGCGGACCGGTCGGGCGTATACTACTGCCTCGCCGTCGTCGAGAACCTGTGCTCGCGCGCCGCGACGGCGGAGCAGATCGCCCGGGACGAGCCCCTGCTGAAGTGGCTCCTGCAGCGCATCCAGAAGAGCGAGTCGTCGTCGTCGTCGTCTTCTTCGTCAGTGTCCCAGAACAAGCAGTACGCCGCCGAGATTCTCGCCATCCTCGCCCAGTCCTCGCCCGCGAACCGCGCCGCCCTGGCCGCCCTCGACGCCGTCGACGCCATGCTCCAGCTCGTCGCGCCCTACCGCCGGCGCGACCCGGAGAAGGGCAGCGAGGAGGAGGAGTACGTGGCCGACCTCTTCGAGGCGCTGACGTGCGTCGTCGACGACGCCGAGGCCGGGAAGCCGCGCTTCGTCGAGGCGGAGGGCGTCGAGCTCTGCCTCATCATGGTCAAGGAGGGCAAGTCCGCGCGGCCCATGGCCCTGCGCCTGCTCGACCACGCCGTGTCCGGGCCCGGCGCGGCCGAGGTCTGCATGCGCGTCGTCGAGGCCGGCGGGCTCAAGACGCTCTTCACGGCGTTCATGAGCGGCCATAAGAAGAAGCAGCAGCAGCAGCACGAGGGCCAGGTCGTCGAGCACCTCGTCGGCATCTTCGCGTGGATGCTGCGCCTGCTGCCGGCCGACTCGGCCGAGCGGGTCCGCGCGCTGGCCAAGTTCGTCGAGAAGGAGTACGAGAAGACGGCGCGGCTGTGGGCGCTGCGGCGGCGGTACGCGGCGCGCGTGGCCGAGGCGGACGCGCGGATCGAGGAGGAGAAGGGGCAGGTCGAGGACGAGGAAGACAGGGAGGCCATGGCGGCGGAGTGGTTCTCGCGGCGGCTGGACGCGGGCTTGTACTGCCTGCAGACGATCGACGTCATCCTCGCGTGGCTGGTGGCCGAGGACGACGGCGCGCGGAGGAAGATCCGGGACTTGCTGGCGGACCAGGACCAAGGGTTCGAGGTGCTGAGGACGAGCCTGCAGGAGCAGATTGACGGGATCGACGTCGAGGACGAGGGCGGGCAGGAGACCAGGGAGATGCTGTCTACGCTCGTGGAGTTCTTGCAATAGAAGAGAATGGAGATGGACGAGTTGGCACGTCGTTTCAAGGTTTCAGATGATGAAAAATACCCCCATATAATGGTGAACGGGTTGTAGAGATAGTCATAGTGCAGCTCTTGCATTGTCTAGAATAAAACTGTACAAAACATCCTGTTCCCTCTCCATGCTCAACGATGGGTATGCCCTCAATGTATCGGGTCATGTCTCCAGCGAAGCGACAGGCACGGCATCATGGCCGCCCTTCAGAGAGTGTCACTCAAGACACCTTCCCCATCTATCTCCCATCTCTCCATCACGTCATCTCCTTCACGCAGCCACCTCGGACGGCGGCTCGGGCTTGGCCTCGAACACGGCCTTGAGTAGGTCCTGCACGACCTTGTCCTGGTTCTTCTGGCCCGCGGCCCGGATCTCCTTGATCTTGGCCTCGGCCTCCTTGTTGGCCTCCTCCTCGGCCGCCTTGTTGCCTTGGGTGTGCTGTGTTTCGTGGTTACGGTCAGCGACTCTGTGACCCGTGGTTGAGTTTTTGTTGGGGCGGTGGAGAATGGCAACCCACCTCGGACTCGAACTGCTTGTACTCGGCCTCCTTCTCCGCCTTGTAGGCGTCTATCTCCTTCTTGGCCTCGTCGCGGGCCTCCCTGACGCGCTTCGTCCGGACTGTATTTTAGGTGCATGCCACGAGGCTAGGGGTTAGTTGTTGTCGTGGTACGGTACCTGCTACTCGGTGGGGGGTATCGGGGAACGTACACTCGCGAGCTGTGGTAGGAGGCAAAGGATGGTTAGCTGGAGGCCTATTGGGGTTTGGAGGAGAGCGTATGTACCCTTCTGGACAATCTTGGAAGCTTCCCTCTCGGCCTGTTGTCGAATCGCGGTGTGAGCTATCAAACCATACGGGTGTCCTCGCAGAGAGTAGGGGGTGTCCTACATCGAGCAGGGTCTGGATGCCCGCCGAGTTCTGGGCAGACTGTGCAGATAGTTGGTTAGTCCTATTCGAGCTCCTCTCCCTCCGTCATCGTCATGGGACCAGCTAAGCGGGATAATCGTCCGGACGTACCATCTTTGCGGTTTAGTTCTGGAGCGTCTGGTCGAATACGCCGGGTCGGGATAAAAGCGAGGAGATATAAGCGATATCGATCGGGAAACAGAGTAGCGCAGCCAGGTAGTATCACGACAAAGGGTCAGCTGGGGTGGTGAACTTGACGGCGTCGTTTGGATTGAGGCTCCTCTCTCCGTCTCCAGGTACGTCCACGCCTCGAAGTTGCTAAAGGGCGCCAAGTGGGGGCAGGTGCTCAAGCTCTCAGCTTCCGCCTTCAATCGATAAGGCACGAGATACGCGAGGCGGTCACCCCCGGCAGAAACTGTTACATCACTCACTTGCACTGCTGAATTTCCGAGCTCCGGCCTCTGTCGGGGTCTGGTCTAGGATTTTGTATGGCATGTTGCGCTCGCATCCTTTCTCAGCCCACTTACATCGCCGCCAATCCTCCTCCCCTTCTCGAAAGGACTCACTCGCTGCCTGCAAAGACCGTCGCGCTGCCTGCAAACACAGCGTAGTTCGACCATTCTTCCGCTTCCAATTCCGTCCCAGTAAAAAAGGGCCAGCAGCCATGTCCCGCGCCTCCAAGCTCACCCTGCTGGGCACCTCGCTCTTCGCCGCCACGACCATCGCCATGGTGCACTTTCAGCAAAAGTTTGAGAAAGACGTACGTTGGACAAAACATACACCATACACTGCCGCTACCTCTTGTTGTTCTCCTGTTCCCAATTCCCATGGAAAACCCCTTCTCTGCAGCCAATGCGCCCCCCTTCAGTTGCAGCACCGAATACAGCACCTTCGCTAACAGTCCATGCTCTTACGACAACAGGCCATGCACGAAGGCGTCGTCCGGGACATGGAGCAGCAGCGCGTCAAGCGCGAGCGCCAGCTCGACTTTGACATGCAGCGCGCCCTCGAGGAGGAGTACAAGAAGGGCCAGACGGTGCGCGACTCGACGGGCGAGATGGACAGCAGTAGTAGTAGCGGCGGCGGCGGCGGCGGCGGCGCAGTGGCGAGGTAGCGTCGGGCGTCAATTGGAGAGGAGCATTGATCACACACGGCAATGCGCGCCTCCTCCCTACACGAGGCCTTGAGGATGGCAAGTTGGCAATACACAAGGCGGCGAGAGGGGGGGGGGGGGGGGGGTCGATTGAGAGTTTCGGCGGGCGGGAAGGGAGCCATGGCCTGACCAGCAACCA